AAGCATACATTTAAGTTTTATTAATGGTGATTGTTGTCGTCATACGAGCATTGGCGGCAAACCCGCTTTAACCATTTGATGGGTTTATTTCAATTACCGATGCGTTCGTGATGCCTTATAATAGATAAATATTTATTACTGATAAATCTAGTTTTTAAAGTTGTTCATTGTTTGGATAATGTAGCATATTCGAATATTGATATTAGATCAGCTAACATTAACACAGATTTTCTTAATTGTTTCGGTTTTAGTGACATCAATTAGATACCAAAAATAACAGTGTGTGGTGCAAATATAACGAAATTCTGTTAACTGCCTTTTTGTCATCGAAATTCATAGTTTAAACTTTTTAATGAAAAATGTGAAAATGTGAAAATTAAAGTTGTGAAATGCTAATAAATACAAACTTAGAAACATATTGCCGCCCAGCATCTGGAAGTTCTTAGTTTAAATTGCTATACTTACAGACACCATTTTGGGTATACGTTGGATAATGAAGAGGGAATGATTTTTACAGTCATCACGCGAGCAACATCAGCGGTAGTGATGAGTACCTAGCAATGTTTGAAGCTTGAACACATGACGCCCATGTGTTTGTTTTTATCTATATAATGCGATTAATTTAAATCTAACCTCTCCTACATGTTTGTGTGCTAAAAATATGGTCTGTTGTATAATGTAACCATATTGACTTCGCAAATGCGAAGATACAATCTTATTGTATTTATTGTATAGTTTATATCGCCACATTTGTATTCAAAAAGAGATACAGAAAATTCAAAAAGTCAGTACTTTTTTATTATGTACCGTAGTTCTTCACAAAAATATGTATATATATACATATGTGTTTATATATATATAATTTAAATAGTATATATTTAATATATGTAGCATATTTTAATAACACAACAGTAATTCAGAACCAGATAACGTCAACGAAGGAGAATGATATGGACATATATTAAATTTATAGTTCTAAAATAGTATTGCTGTAACAATGAAATATATTTATTATAAATTATATCAACTAAAAATACACGATCATTTTTTATATTTATTTTTTTTAAATTTATTTTTAAACTTCGTTTAAATTTTTTATATATATATAAATACATTATCATTTTTTTATTTATTAAAACAATTGCCAATTTTTGGAAGATTTTAGTTTAGTTTCTTAAATGGAAGGATGAAGTTCAATTAACAATTACTATATTTTAAATATAACAAATATGTAGAAAAAGAGTAAGCAAAATTAAATTATTAAATTAAATTTAACTAATAGTGTTAGAAAAAAAGGAAAAAAAATAATGAAGTGATTGTCTATACTGTGTGAATACAACGTAAATAGTTTCGTCCTAATAATGAACAATTTAAAAATATTCTCTATAGCAAAATATTTATTATTTCATTATCATTGGCGAATATAAGTATAATTTTAGAGCCTTTAAATAAAAAACTGTTAACATATTTTTTCATTCGGTGGTTAGTCGGCTTAAAATAGTTTAATTGCTTTTAAGTAATTAAACAGCACTTTGTAAGGTATGTATTTATCAATTTATGTGATTCCCAGCTGTTTAATTTTCAATCTTTTGAAACTATGTATACATGAAAATTGCTGTTATTCGAGCATTTGGCTTGACCACATCGAGACACTTTTTATCCATAACTACAATTGGAACACAGTTCGGGCAATTGGAAGCTTGAACACGTTATAGCAATAACATTTATAATATACGACGTCAAAAAAGATAAACGATTTTAATTGTTTTTTTTTTTAAATATTTTCTATTTAATTTAATAATTACTCCCATAAGAACTATGAAACATATAAAAAATTATTAATGTTATATGAAAATGAATGATTGCTTGTGTTCCCAAATAATGTTTGTGTGCCCGGTGAAGGGGAATATTTCTATTGGAATGTTTTTTATAATATAACATTTTGTTAATTATTATTTCATTGCATTTATTTTATTTAAATCAAATGAATTAATTAAAGTTGTGGAGATAAGTATTTTATATGTTTTGAAAAATTTTTAATTGTATCTCCAAAGGTTTTGTTAAAAAAAATCACTCGCATTCCTCTGATTACTCCTATATAGACTGCTATGAAAGTTCTTGCGATATAGACTCTTTGAACATATATACAAGATATACCTATATATATGGAAAATAGGTCGGTTACCCACTTTTTAAGTTAGTAATTAATATAACTAAAAATATTACACTATTCTTTATGCAAGAAATATGAATAAACTTATACGAATAACTTTCTCATTTAATACTAACTTTTCCAATTACACACAAGTATGTGCATATATAATATATGCAGAATTTACATTAAGTTAATTACGAAGTATATTCTATAACTTCTTACAAAAAAAAAAACGTTAGCATATATATTTGAAGTATATATTATATGCATTAAAAATAAATTTATACTTTCAGCTTTCAGTACCCTCGTGAGTACCCTTTATAACTAATTTTATATACACATTACTTTATTACTTTATAATTATTTCTTGTGAAGTAACTTCAATGCTACTAATGATATCAATCATAGAAGATATACTATATTTATAGACAAAACGAAGCTGCAAAAGTTACGCTCAACTAACTAATCACTGTGATATATGAAATTTATCTTGATTCTAGAAAAAAATTTGGCAAAATTTAAGATAAAAGTTCTCACATCAAAATATATGACTTAAGTTATTAACAATATGGATGACCAAAATGTTTATCTCTTTTAAAAAAAAA